TTCAATTCTGGAGGCACACAAGTACACTGAATTACCTGTATTGCAGCCATAGTTTATGTTGTTCATCTTCCTCGGTTGTGGAGCCACGAGCAACAGTACCCTTAATTGGCTTTGCTTCTAATATTCCATTCCTATCCAACTTCAAAAACCTCTCAGGAGAAGAGCAGCAAATGCATAGATTTTCCTCTGAAAAATTAAGAAATGCAGCATATGGTGCTGGGTTTTTTTCTCGAAGGTGGAGGTATAGTCCCAAAGAATCTATTTCCCCCACACTTCTTCTATTTTGAGTGGTAAGACAAAGCTCATAGCTTTCTCCATCTTTAATATACTTCAGGCAGTTTTGGACGTCTCTTATATATTGCTCCCTAGGTTTGTCAGGGAGAAAACCTGCTTTAGAAGGAGAACTCACACATTGTTGACTTTGCTCCTTTTTCTTTTTTGTGGCAAATGCTTTTAAGCTGATAAGCTTCTGCTCTGTCTCATCCAACCATGAGGTTACTGTTGTGCTTCCCTCATGTATTGACAATAAATAAACATCATCATAATGATGATCAACAACTACAAGGTTATCAACAAAGAAAAAGCAAGCATCTGGAGTCCCGGATTTGTGACGATTAGATGCCATTCCACATTCAACTTTAAGATCATAGCTGTGTCACATGAAAAACAAAGTGAGACCAACATTAATACATCCCTGCAGGTTAAATTTGTACTTATGTCTGCATATGTCCAATTTAGAGAGAGAGAGAGAGAGTGCCCATATAAACCGATTGCCACCTTGGCCATGCTTCTCAACTAAAAATTTTTGGCTGTCATGTCTTTTCACCTAAAACTAGCAAGCTAGAGATACATGAAAGAGGCCCTCTTGTATTTTGTATAGGACCAACAGAATGTGTTCTTTCCATGGCAGGAGTCATTATCTTTTTAAAAGTCATCTCTTTATACCCCTACCACGAGAATATAGATATTTTCATATGTATTAATCTTTATCGAGTAATACAAGACTAAAATAGTGCATATATAATCAAAATCCAGAAATATAAGGGATGAGACTTACGTCAAACTGAAATGGGAAAAATAGGCTGCTAACGGCCCTACTTCGAGGTCCGGAAATTTTTATTAGGATTCTTCTTATGAACATGTTGAAGTACATGCTACATAAATCACGGTGAGAACTTAAAGAATAATGCAATTGCCAGGAAATCAGTCAGAATTCCAGATATTCTAAAAGGGATTGAGAATCGTGAGGTTAGGTCAGCTTGGGTCCAGGAAACAGACACTTGAAGTTGAAGAGTAAACCCAATAAAGATAGAGCAAAGACAGGAATACAATTTTTTAGATTGAGCTTTAACATTGGATGCCATTTTACAAAACCAGTCAACTAGATGATGGAAGAATAAAATGGAAATCATGGCATAAATTATACAGCATACATTTAGGAATAGCAAGAAAATTTAGAAAATTCATTGTCAGCACAAGCTTAAGTACATACCCAATGTAACCGATATAACCACCATAAAAGTCAAATGGTAGTCCTTCGTAATCTTTTTCATCATAACAGAATCCCAGGAGCTCCTGATGCACAGATAAAAAATGGTAAAATTCTATTACATTAAATCTCCAAACTTGTTGTAGAATATTTAATATTTCACGTAGTGAAACAAACTTATACTCAGAACAGAAGGAAAATGCAAGTAAACTGCCAACCCTTTGGGTCAAAACAAATTTCGCAAGCTTAAAATGGTTTCAAATTCTCCCTTCGCGATCAACCATGAAGCTTTGAGTACATAATCAATAAACCCAGGAAATTCACAAGTTCACTATTCCAAAGTTACTGTTACTGCATTTAAAGTTTTAGCACATAAACCAGCAAGGTCACAGGGACTCTGATAACTAGAGTCTATTAATTCTAAATTGAAACCATTTTAAGCTTGAAGTTATGAATGATAAGAATATTCATGTACTACCTTGTTCAAAAAATCAAGAAAACCTTCCTCCAAAAAGGTACTTTTGATAGAGCCCTGAGCATCCTCAATCAAAAGATAACCTCCACATTTAGAATTTCTCTCGCTGCAAAAGACATGGAGTAAATATATCATTTTCGCATTTAGAATTTTTCATTACAGAACATGTATCAGTTGTGTCAAATGCTTTCACATCTGAATGAGAATGAATACAAGTCTTTTTTTCTCAAATGCCTTCAGATATGGACGAGAATGAACATGTAGCTAAAGTACACAGACAAGCCAATCCACCAGCTCTTCCCCATTCCAGGCAAGAAAAAAAAACGAAACATATAATAAAGAATTAAATAGGTTCAAGACATTGCAGATGTAGCCAAACCTTTGACCAGATAGTCGAAATGTCACTTGCTTCCAAAGAGATCCACTCTTACCCCCCATGAATGAGAAGCGTGCTCTACCCTGAAAATTGCAGAAGAAAACATGGGGAAAAATATGAATCTTAGAAACACAAAGAGAGCCATAAAACTAACTCCATCAACATCACAGTAAAAATACAACACACAAATCTTAACCAAATATTTGACTAGATCAAACCACAAACTATTTTCCAAATATTTTGAAAATTATCCACTTGCCTTAATAGGCCTAAGATACTGTTGAAATACAAACTACCGTCTTAGAAAAAGAAAAAGAAACTCATTACCCTCTCAAAATTTGCACCAAAATTAAACCAGTAGTTATTATTTCAATTCTATATTAAGTAAACAAAAAAGTTTGATAATATCTTTATAATTTTTTTATACAAGCAGCTACAGAAGCATAAGGATGCCCTGTCTTCTAGATTCACCAATAGTTGAATTTCAACAGTATATCCTGCTTTCAATGAAACTGGTAACAGAAGAGTTTTTACATTTAGTTAGCAAGAGATGACAAACCAGGAAAGCACCTTGTCTACTGACGAACTGTCTAACCAAAAAGTATTTTCAGCTTTATTATCTCCAAAAAGGTCACAGAATATACTTCTTGCTCCGCCAATTTGACTTGCCAAGCGATCAAACTTCCTCCATGTCAATTTCAAAAGTTTGGGACCAGCTCCCGTATGTGAAATATTCACCATGTCAAACGTACCAAACCTGCTCTTCTGTGCATCTAACAGAAACTTCTCATTTTCAAGGCCTCCTTGATAATGCTGACCATTACCATTTACCACATGTCTACTTCTGGGCAGTTCTCTGAAAAATCTACTAACACTAGGCACCTGCATATGTGCTAAACAAAGTTCACCGCTCAGAGAGAATTACAGGTTATCATTTATTTATGGTTAGGCCTAAAAACCTTCCCAGGAATATCAAAAAAACTTTGTAACTGAATAAACAGATGATAAAAACTAAAAAAGCATCTGCCTCCCAACAACCACAGCCAAAAAAGAGGGGCTAAATGAGAGAGATAAGTACAAGAAAGAGGGGAGATAGAGACATGAGGAAATCAAATAAATAAGAGTCAAGTTCAACAACAAGTACTTGTTCTTCAAAAAAAAAAAAGTTCAACTACTTAGTAGACTGATATTTCTTATAAGAGATCCTTTTTTTAATGAATTATAAAAGATCCATTTACCAGTATATTTGATATTTCTCTGATTGATGAATGAAGGAGAGAAGCTCAGCCAATAGTCTTCTGTTATCTCCCGGAAATTCTTGAATATTTGCCTACCATAAGATGTTGCAACACTCTCTGGATGAAACTGGAAACTCGCAAGAATGTCAAGAGGAGTAGCAAAGAGAAAAACCTTACAGGGTAAGTTTAATAAATAAACTCACGATATACCTGCAAACCATAATGAGGTCTGCTAGAATGCATGATCCCCATGATGATATTTCTCCTTTTTGTTACATCAGAATTGCTGGAATCCCACGGATTTTCGTTTTTTCCTTTTGGTAAAACAGAGTCAATAATTTGATGTTCAGTTTGACTCTTGTAAGCATCTGGGATGAGAAAAGACTGTGTGTCAGAAGAAGAGGTCCATGCTATTGGTATGAGTTCCTTTGGGAGTGATTCTGCATCAATAACCAGAGAATGATATCGAACCACCTACCATGTAGCATAACAAACATAAAATTTAGAAGATATTCTAATCATTCATTGATCTTAAATGCAGCTACAACTAAAAAAACATAATCATAAAAATAGCTTATAAAAGAGTAACTGCATGATTGATAATTGCAAAAGACTGTGTTTCTGGAAAATTAATCATAAACAAGAAAGAAAAAGAAAAAACAAGCTGCTAAATAGGTCACACGAGTAAATTTGTATCTTTCCCATTCATTCCAGTAAATGTAGACAATGCCAAAAACAATTTACAAGGTTTTACTAGAATACTACTATTACTACTACTAATAACAATAATAATTATATACAATAGGGATCTTTTGGAACAAGCTGAAATTATTCAAAAGACACCCTTCCAGTATGAATTCACGAAACCTCGAAGCCTGAATCTCTATCAGAAGCTGTAAATGTTCCAAGTATCTTCATAATCATAATATTCAAAAGATCTAGCATTTAGGCAAGTCTTATCAACTCATACTGCTTTGAAAAGATAGGATGGCATACGAACCTTGAAACCCGAGTTTCTACCAGAAGGAATTTCATGAAACAATAAGCATCCATTATGCTTAATCTCACTGCAGAGACAAAAATACGTGAGAGCCTGGAAGAACACAGGTTATATGGAAACAAGTCTGTAACAACATGCTATTAACAATAACTTACTGAAAAGGTTCAGACTGTTAATAGAAGGCTCTAGAACGATATCTTATCCTCTCTTATTATACTTAATCTTTCTTTTTCAGTAATATTATCTATTTAAAAAAAGATTTGTACCAGTTAAGTTTAAACAAATAAACATATCATGTCATAAACAATGTAACCTGCAAGTTATGATTAGATCAATCAACGAAATAATGTTGGAAAAAATGCAAAAAATTGTTTATCTTGTCTCTTGAAACATTGATTTTAGTTCCAAAAGATGAAATAACTGTTTCCATGAATTTATGTGTTGAAAGACACATTTTCAAATTTCAATATCTCATCATACCTCAGACGTCCATGAACAGGTTCATTCGCATGGACAATTTGAGCACCATGCGCGTAACCTAATGCCTGCCAAAACACAACAAAAAGAAGCAATGAGACTCAAGACATACTCCTTGAGCAGATTTGGTAGCATTCACTCTCCATCCTATAGCAAGCATTCTATAAAAAATCTACAGAGTAAAGACACAAATATAATTTCAGAAAGACTGAAGCAACCAATATGACAGATTCAATCAGAATAAGGATCTTCAGTGTGACAACAAACAAGACACCCACAGTTGCAGATGGGGGCAAATGCAGTAGAAGTTTTTGTGCCAGAAGCCAGATACTCACCCCTCCCCCCCCCCCAAAAAAAAATCAGAGCCTTCACTGTGAATTTGGGATTGGATTGACTTTTTTGAATCTCTTTGACTCATGAGAAGGTTTCTATAAGACTAGTTCTTTGTTTATTTTACAGAGAAATTAGCTGGCTATTTTCTATCGAGTTCATTTTATTGTCTTGTTCTTTCTCTTTTTTTGCCTTTTTTTTTCTTTTTTGTTTTTTAAGGGCAATGGGTCCTCCTGTTCATTCTCCTTATCTCTCTTTTTTAAAAGCATATATAGTATGGCCTAAGGTGTGTTCAGCAAATTTGACAAATTATAAAGCATCCTTAAGTAATAACCACATAGAAGAAGAGACTACTCCTTTTTGCATAATTTAAGGAATCAAGATATATAAATGACGACAACAGAAAACAATATTTATAGGATATAATGCATAGAACCCAGTGTCCTGTGCTTTCAGCCCTCTGCATAAACATATGCGTTGAGCAGACAACAGAAATTTAAACCATATATTTAACAGCAAAAAGCAGAATATTTTTACTTGTGGAAAGAAATCTGATTGGACATTTAACTGAGGCATCCAACCTAGATCTAAAAAATAAGAACATGTCAATATATATGCAGGATAAATATCATTTACTAACCAAAGTAGAATCTACAGCAGGCCCTGAAAGGATATACCTGGTGTCCAAGACAAACACCCAAAATTGGAATATCCCAGCATGTGTGGAACAGATGAAGACATATTCCTGAAAGATTCAACTGATTATGAGAAAAAATCATGCACAGAGAAATTAACTTGAGCCACCTCGAGAACAAAAATTTTTCCACATAATTTAGTAGCCACTAATCGCTAAATGACAAAGAAAAATTTCCAAAAGAAGAATATTCATATAAAAAGTTATATTTACTGTCTCACCTATATCTGCAGGACATGTTGGAGAACCAGGTCCAGGTGATATAACAATATTATCAAAAGCACCCTCTTTGTACAAGTAATTTTGGATATCTTCCCATGTCCATTCATCATTTCTCACAACTACAGGAGGCACTGACGGATAAAAATCAAAGAGAAACATGTCAACTACAGAGAAAATGCAGGATGTGGGGGAAAGAGACAGAGAGAAACAAAGAGACAGAGCTTACACCCATTAATGACACTCAGCTCCTGATAAATATTGTATGTGTAACTATCATAGTTGTCAATCAGCAATGTCCTCACAAATTCTAGCTTCTTTCTAGGCTCTTCCAGCCATTTCTTTTGCATAAAGGATCCTTCTAAGTGTCCGGGAATTAAATGGCAAGATATCCCCGACTTGCTAGCAACGCTGTGAGCTCCTCGGACATAACCTCTTCTAGTGCAATCACCAATACTTACAAAAGCTTTAGACAGCACTACATTCAAATTTGGACATCTATAACCATCAGCAGAACCAGGATAGGCAAGCTCAGAAGAAGTTGAAAACAAACTGAAACTCATCTTTGCCTAGGGGGAGGATTTTTTGAGAAAGGCAACAAAACCTCCCCGGGTAAGCACCTTCTGCAAGATAGAAGTTAATTTTAGTTAGATTTTTGAGACAGTCTCCTTGTATTATATATATCAATTTCAAATGGCTTCAATGAGCTACTGAATATATATAGAAAGCTTCTATTCCTTTCTACCAACGTGACCTTAAGTGTAAAATATTTGATTTGTCACTATCTATATCAAAAACTTGAAACCACTAAATCAAATTATTATTTATAGGGTAAGACACTCTCTCCTTTACGCAAAAACAGGTAGAACTGCAAGAGCGATCAAGCTCATTCCCACCATATTGTGAGACTATATACATATTCTGGGACCATATAGTAAATATGAACTGATTTCTTGAAAAAAAACAAAGAACAAGAAAACTCTGTTAAGCTCTACTATATCATAACTAACATTAAGATTTAATTTGGAAATTACTGTTTAAAGCATGTAAGTATATGGCATAAAGTACAAATACACACGTAGCAAACACATGCATGCAGCAGCATGTACTCACGGACACATGCTTTTTTAGCTATTTCCATACCGAGTTACATGGGAACCCAACTAAATCTAATTAAAGAAACATGACAAAACAAAAGGAAACAAAACACATTTCAAGACCCACCCAAGTTAACCAAAGATTGACAGACTGTAACCTAAAAACTCCTAAAAAAAGCAAAAGCTTTAGCACAAGAACCTGAATTTTTCAAAAGAAAAACACTCCCAAATTTAAGAAAGAAGGATTTCGTATGCCTCCAATTTTCAAACCGGAAAAAGAAAAGGCCAAACACGTGTACAGAGCCGAGAAAAGGATCAAGTAAGAATAAGAAACAGATAAAATAAACTGAAAACTTGAATCAAAGAAACATGGGTATGAATCAAAATTGTACCTCTTTAGAGCATGAAACGGGAGGATGGCGCAAGAGGGTTTACCGCCGTGTGGAAGATAGAAATGAGAGCCACAGAGATGGGTTGGGAAGAAGAAGGGGAGAGAGATGCGGCAATAAATACGGGCCAAAAAGATGGTGTAAGGTGGAAACCGACGACCCCACAAGACATTGACAGTAGAAAGTCCAAGATTCATATTTCATGGCCATGGATTGGATTGGAGGGTCAAATATTCAAATCGGTGCCTGGTTGGAGAGAATCTTAGCCGCCTTAACTCGCCAGCCGAGATCCAATTCTTTTGGGAAACTTCAAAAAAACCATTCCTTCAGTTCTATGGCTTATATTTTTCCCTTCTTGTTGGTGTATTTGGATGGAATTATATAATTTATAATTAGTCAAAATAAAATTTTATTTATATTTAAAATTTTTAAATAGATAATTATTATATATATATATATATTACTATATTTTTTATATTTAAAAATTATATAAAAGTGAACTTTATTTTTATATTTAAAATTTAAATGTATAATTATAGCTCTTTTTTATATTTTGAATAAATTTTTCTAATTGATTAATGGTCTAAATAATTCAATTATTATTTTAAGTAATGAAAAAATATTATTCATTAGTTATTTAGTAGAATTAATACATATGTTTATTTTTATAGTTAATTAAAAATAAATATTATTTATATTTAATACATTTAGAGATATATATATATGTTATTACAATTCTTTTTGTATGTAATTAGTATATTTTTATTATAGTTCATACATTTTGTCTAATTAAAAAACTCTTATTTACATATTTAATTTTACAATCACAAATTTTGCATTTTAATATTATGTTTAAAAAATCACAACATTTAAATTTCATCAACCATTATCCAAACATGTCCTCATCCGAGAATAAAAATATCCAAAAAAAATCGATCAAAATTAGAACGGATCGAACTATATTAAACTATAAGAAAATAATTTTTTTTAAGTATGATAAAAAAAAATTACATTATAAAAAAAATATTAAGTATGAATTGAAATTTAAATGTTATAATCTTCGGTCTAGATTATTTTTCTTATTAATATTTTAAGTCGGTCCAATTATAAGTCGATTAATACCCTCTATGGCTAAAAAAATTTTGGTGTCATATAAATTTATTAAATTATTTTGGTGATTATTATTATTTAACCATTTTTTTCTCAAGCCCAACAAATTTTCGAGTCAAGAATGTAAATGTATTTATTAAGTTTCTAAAATTATGTTCTTAATTATTTTATCTCGTGTTTAAATGCCGAATGATTTTCAACAGTTATTTACTGACGATATTATAGGTGTTTCTTAGCCGAAAATATACATAACGATATCTTAATTTTCTTTTAATTTTTATCTCTTCTTGTACTAAAATATAATATATATATATATATATGTATATATACAATAATTTAACCATGTTGTTTATGCCAACCAAAGTTGAATAAATTAACCCATCAAATGATGCCTCCAAGAAGTTTAAACGGCGCCGTATATAAAAATGGGTTAAGCTGATGGATTGATGATTAACAAAATGGGCTTAATGGATGCTTACATACAAACCCATATTGATTACTACTATTTCATATAATGGGAGTGTATGTATATATAAGAATATATATATATATATATATATATATATTCTTGTTTATATTTCAATTCTTGTTTATCCTAAGAATGATATATCATTACATTGTATTAGAAAAATGTATAGTATGTAGTGTATATATGTATATACATATAGTTTTACATTTATAAAGAAATCACAAAATTTTCACAAGTAAATTTAGGTTACCCAACTCGTCATATGTAATAATAAATTTAAAAAAAAAAAGTCTTTTAAAATTTCCTGAAATACACGGTGTTAAATAATCGAATATGAGCAATTATATATATACGCATATATACACGGTGTTAAATATTCGACTATGAAAATAAAAAAAAATAAAAGTAACCAATATTATTCAAATTCATTTGGGCTGTTTTTTTACACAGGAATTGATAAGAAGAAAGCGTGTGCTTTTATAATTATATATGTATATGTGTATGTATATATATATATATATAGGAAAGAGCAGACGTATTGGAAATCTATGGCTGAAAAGTAAAACGACACATTTCAAAGCATGAGATACAGGCTTGCACTACCATATGCAGATCTTTTACCCTCTAGACACACAACCTCTACCAAAAGCTAACTTCTTGCAGACACACACACACACATATATATATATATATGCACAGACATATATGTATATACAAATATATCCATTTTCCATAACCTCCATGAATCTTTCTATTTCTACGTAGTACTGTCGGACTTGGTTTTTGTAAATAGTTCTATAAGTACTACATATACGGAGGTCGTATTTCAGATACAAATTATACATATAGTGATGGTAACAACACACTGATCATTATATATATATATATATATACACACACACATACGATCTGATTAAGTATTAAACTTCAGTAAACAAAAACAAGTAATCAAAAGATTAAAAGAATCAGGCTTTAATTAATTGCTCCTACTTTTTCTTTGAATTCCCAGTACAGTATTATTAAAAAAGGAAAGAAGATTTATCGTGAGGTTACTATTCCTCTTGAGTTACATGAAAATCCTAAAAAGATGGGATCAGGTCGATCGACATGATGAATTTCATATATATATATATATATATATTAATGTATATGTATCCCTGTATGACAGATTGTAAACACAATAATGTCATAATTTCCCATCAACTTTTTCTTTAATTTCCGTACCCATCAAGAAATCATTTGGCTAGTCTAGCTTGCTGTGCACCATGCATTTGTATATTCTCATTATAATTCGTTATATATAATATAATAATGTAATAGTATACGATTGCAAGAAATTAAATGACATTATATTTATTCTTTCCCCTTCTATTCTTTTTGTGTTTTATATAATATTTCTGATGATCATCAGAAATTGAGAGACAGAGAGAGAGATGTACATATATATATATATATGTATTTACATGTATGCTAAGGGCTATAGAGAGGAGGATACAGAATCTACTTTCTGAGAGACTGATCATGATGATCGCGTACAGGGTACAACCTGCAACAGCATAAAACACAATGAAAGGAGGAAGAAGGTGGACCCCGCCCTATTCCACCTCCCACCTCCCACCTCCCTTCTTTTTTTCATCTCTGCAGATCCATCCAGGGAGAATGTTCTGTATGTGAGGCCGCAAGCATGCAGCTCATGTGAAAAAATAATTACTTCTTTTAAATTATCGATATATACATACACACACACACACACACGCACACATCAACTGTAATATAGTGCGTGATATGATATAATAAACATTAATTTCTTATCAACCTAACATGAAAACATCTTATGGGTTATGTATATTTTCCATTTATTTTACTGATTATTATTGTATAACTTGGACAAAAATCTAAGTAAGTTTACTCATGAGTTATATGTATATCTACATATATATTGGTCATGTTTTATTAATTACATTGAATGGGTAGATCAACCACAAGTTCTCTGTATATCATAAATCAATTATATATATGTATGTGTATGTATATGTATTAATTAAAAAGAAAAAGGAAGAGATCCAATTGATTTCAGGAGATCTTGAAGGTGGTCCAAAGTGTTTTGGACTGAGCAATGTCCTTTTCTTTTTCTTTATATTTGACCTGCTTTGACCGTATATCTATATATATATATATATTTATTATAATAACCTATTGTTGAATCAGAGTTTGAAGGTGGTCCATTTAGATTCCCCCACTCCCAAACACACAGTACAGTATATAGTATATAGCTACCTATAATCACCATCATCATCATCACTTTTACTTTTCTTTTCCATAACTTTGATAATTTCTTTCACACACTTTCCCTTGTTTGGTGACAGAGAAAGAGAAAGAAAATGAGAAAGAAAGATATTACGTAAAGATGGATAGGTTTTGTACCTCCATATCTTGCTTGACCAACTTAGCTTGATAGATACATTGTGATGTATACACATATGTCTCTTTTTATTACCATTTTTTAATTTTTAAAACCTATATGCATAAACTCTTTCTAACTAAAATATAATAGAACACGATATTGATACAATTGCTATATTATATATGTATATGCGTATATGTACTGTGGAAAATACTCATGATTAGTACTAGTAGTTCCAGTAGCTATTGACAACAAGGTGCATTAACAATCATGTCTATTATGGGTCAGGAAAAACGTCTGTTTTGTTAATCAAGAAACTAACCTTAATTACTAGTTAGTTTAATAAAAATATATATATGTAATGTACTCCATATATATATATATATAATATACTAGTTCATTATTTTATGTTGGCTTTTGTGTTTGATCATGTAGGTTTTCTCTTAAACCCCAGCCCAGCAGCTAGCTTATGAGATCAAATGGGATCTCATTTCATAAAATCCCATATATATAAATATGTTCTTGTGTGTGTATATATATATATATATATACATAACTGAGCAACTTGGTTTTAAGTGAACTAAATAAGCTAATTATCATTAACAAACACAGACAGCTGGTATAATAATCATAATACGTCCATATATCAAATGGCTATAATCATATTCCAGCACTACATATATATACACACACGTCTACATATAAACTGGATCTAGCTATAAACATACATGTGTATATATATTACAACTAATTAATAAGTGATGAAGCAAATGTTATTTGATGATATAATTCATTATAAGAATTACTCGGTTATGTGATTTGTGCAAAATAACAGCTTATAATATTATTACCTATGAAGATTTAGTCTCGTTTACATACATGTTTCGGTTGGACAGGTTTACAGTTGTAATGAATCCCTGTGATTTAGGTTTGTGGATATATATATACATATATACATATTTGTTTTCCATAGCTGGAAAATTGCCCAAGTACCTATATGTGTATATATATATGTGGAGGATCTGAAACTCTTGGAATATTCGAGAAACCATCGGTAATATTCTTCCACGCATTTTTTAGTTTACCACTCAAGAAAAGTTTATACATATATATATATGTATATATGGTCTATGTATACATGTATACATATGGTTTATCTGCAGAAACATCACCCAAGTACCCAAAATATGAGCATGCAGGAAGGAAATAGAATAAGAGATATATGTGAAGTAGAAGAAGTACCTTTGTTCAGAGAAGATCAGGAAATTTCATCTGCAAAATTGCAATCCCAAACACCCTCCCGAAATTACATTGCTGCCCTCAGTTCCCTCCTAT